TATTAAAAATGAGTTCCCTAAATATATATATATTTATGTATCTCCCGTCTTATTAAGAAGCAATATATATAATCTGTCGTAACAAGAATCTGTCCAAACCAGAATCTGTCAGAACCAGAATCTGTCCAAACCAGAATCTGTCAGACGAATGAGGGAAATCATTGACGGAACGGTCCGGCATGTCTTTACTATAAATTTTTATAATTCAAACTCCAACTCCAACTTCCTCAAGTGAGGTACAATAAGACGCGTTTCGTGTTCCCTGTTAAAGGAAGGATGCAGTCTGGCGACACACTACTACAACAACCGCAGCGAGTACTTGCCATCAGGGTCATAACAGGGTACCACACGATCTCCTTTGATGCGGTGAGTATCCTAGTCGGAACTCCACCGTGGGACTAGGAGGCGATAGACCTTGCGGCTCTGTATTAGTAGGGCAAGGAGGCATGGGAGTTGGGTCGGCGTCCTCAAGAAACCGAGGACCAGAAATCCCAACTCCACCAGGTCCTCGTAGAGGAGTGGAAGGAACGACTTGGGCAACCGAGTGCCGGGCACCATGGGGTACCATGGATTTCTTCTCTAGGGTATACCCGATTCCCCGGCTACTGGTACCCGAAACGGCGTGCGGTTTTTAGTCGGTTCGATTCCAACATAACCACCGGTGGGTGGTATACAAGGGGATATACGCACAGAAAAAATAAAAATAAAAAGGTAGATAAAAATTGAGATTTTATGTGTTTTTAGTGTATTTTAGTAAGGTATTGTCTAATATGTACTTACAAACTGTTCATACAATATTAGAATAACGGAGTTGGGGCCTGGGTTACAAATGTGACCTTTCTTAGTTAAAATATTATCATCCAAAAATTTAAAACAATAGGTAAAATTTTCATAAAATAATGATAAGGAAATTAATACCTACTTTATAATTATTGCCGTGAGTATTTTAATTTTCGAAAACTGTCGCTCCATTCTTATATTTTCTAAAATGTGATGTGTGATGTATTTAGCATGCAGCAAAGCAGCTCCTCCATGAATTTGTATGAATATAAATTAAGTTACAACATTTGACACCTCTGTAACGAATAAAACACTTACTCGCTATTCAGGGATATTTAGAAAGCGAACTTCTGGAAGGTAGCGTTTGTGCACCCGATCCCTAAAAAGGTGACCGTTCTGACAAGTCTAACTACAGGCCTATAGCCATAACTCCTCCGTTCTCTAAGATTATCTTTTCGTCTTTCTAAACCACCGGTGGGCACAGGCGATCGAGACCAAAGGAGAGGCTTGTACAGTTAGTTTGGACATAGCGAAGGCCGTCGATAGGGTCTGGCATAAGGCGCTTCTCTCGGAGCTCCCTTCCTTTGGGCTTCCCGAGAAATGGAATACAATGAAGATATTTTTTATTTCTATGGTAAAACACAAGGTTTATATGGTAAAATACAAGGTTTATATGGTAAAACATAAGGTTTATATTGGATTCTTAGTAAAAAGAATATCAGATATTCCAAGGAATATCAGATATAATCGCAGTGCTTAATATAGTCAGAAGCCACAAGCCAAACAACTGACATCGATTATACGCCCAGCGAACAAGAAACAAATTCAGCAAAAGATCAATTTTATAATAATAGGTTGTACTAATAGAGTTGATGCAAAAGAAGAACATAAATATAATCCTAATGGGGGTCTTTAACGCAAAGGTTGGCAGCAAATCAAATAAAGACGAATTTATCTTAGGCGGTTACAATAGTGGTGACAGAAAAGACAACGGAAATAGACTTATAAATTTTGCTTTTGCAAATAATAATGAATAGTTTCTGAAAAAAAAAAAAGAAACTGACATAAAGTGAGATTAAGTGGACATGGGTGTCCCCAAATAGTAGAGGTAAAAATGAAATCGATTTCATACTCAAGAAGAAAACAGATATTTACTGTCGTAGACGTAGTGAATAAGTAAAATTTTAACACTGATCATAGAATGGTGAGAGGAGTTTTACAATAAACGAACGAAAAATCAAGGAAACATAATATCTTTGCAACAAAGAAGATCAATACAAGATCAATCAAGATCCATCCTCCAAAGAAATCAATAGAAGGATAAGCAATACTTGGAAGCGGTACTGGACACTACAAGAAATAGTTAAAAATGAAACCATACCAATGTCTGTGAAAAGAAAATTGTGTAACACATGTATCCTCCCATGTCTTACTTACGGGTGTCAAACTTGGACCGCTACGAGCAAAAACCACAAAAAAAGTTTGTCAACGCAGCATGGAACGAAGCATGCTTAACATAAAGCTGCGAGACCGTTGGATAAGGGAAAGAACTAGGTTAACCGATGTATTACAGAAAATAAGAAAACTTAAATAATAATAAAGAAATACCCAGACCAAACCAAACATTAAATGTTTATGCACACAAATGTTTGACTTGAGCGAGAATCGAACCCGCAATCTTTTGGAATAGCAGTCCGTTACACAAACCACTAGCCATCCGGTCGTCTGAATGGATCTGGACCGGTCATATAATAAGGACAATAGTGGGAAAAAATGGGCGAAGGATGTAATGAAATGGTACCCCAAAACTGGGAAAAGACAAAGAAAACGACGAAAAGATGGGAGGATGATTTGCCGGAAGGATGAAGAAGGATAGCTCGAGATAGAGATAAGTGGAAGGAACTGGGGAAGGCCTATATCGAAAGACAACCTGACTAAGTAGTTCCTAGAGAAAATATGTTATAAAAAAATTAAGAAAATTGGTTTATAAGTAGTATATAAGTTAAAATGTATATATGGTCAGTGAATAAAGGTTTTTATTTATTTATTTACTAGTTATTTAGTGTTGGGAATAGTAGCTAAATCATTTGTTACCAACGACACCACTGAAGTCTCGTTCAGCGGTGTCCCAGTATATGGTCAATATTATCAAAGGAAACTAACTATTAAACTTCTAATGAAGCTGCGTCTCTGAGTTTTCATCTGCAATTGATTTTATGGCATACTAGGTAATAATAAAAAAAAATGGAAACTGATTAAATTTTTCCTTTATTTTATTTCGTAAAAACAAATACTAATAACATGAAACTCGTACATAGCTATCATAAACACTTAATTCCCCTTCGTATCATTTGTACCGCTTTTGGCTTACAATGTTCAGTCTAGGCTAAATATAATTATCATAGTCTATCACTAGATAAAAAGACTCGTATAAAGAACATTATTGCACCACAGTTAACACTATCAACTTAACTTCATAATCTCTTACTTGTTCTAAAAAGAGTATTAGAGTACGAGGTGCGTCTAGTGCTACAATGTTCAAAAATATCTACACTGCTCCAATATTCGGTTAAGAACAAGAGTAGTACTGCATGTAGTACAAAGTTACGATACAAGTTACAATAAAATAGAAATGTGCAGTCAGAAAAAATCAGATTTAAACTAAGTTGAGAAAAAATATCAAAGTAAAACAATATGTACAAATCTTACTCGTAAATATTTTCTCAGAATTTTGGTTTTTGGTAACCATACCACCGTGATGCACTTCCAAGTTTAAAACTTTTGCAATTATCGATATTAATTATTTATTATTCGTAAGATCACGACCATGAATATTTTAAAATGCCAGTCCAGTAGTTACTTTTAAGTGGAACAAATATAAAAAATAATATAGGATCAAGTTTTTTAGGAGAGGCCTATGTCCAGCAGTGGACCGTTAAAGGCTGTTGATGTGAACTTTTTTAATTTTTTTGTTGTTGTGATTGATACAATTACCATGGCTTACATATTCAACTTGACAACTTCTCCAATTTCAACATTATCATAAAAAAATAAAACAGCCAATTGTTGCATTACACCTTTATACATCACTAGTCGGCAGTGGTGTGGTTACCAAGAAAATTGTGAACGACACAAGTGCGGTGGTTCAGTGGTGCCGTTAACAATTCACGAGAAATATCGTAGTTATAGAGTCAAAGGTGAAAACTAGACGTAAATATTTTGATATTAAAACACAGAGAGCCTGTAGTATGGTAACCAGACTGCTGATAAACATACTTCATAACTTGATGATCATATATATATTATAGATGAAATAGTATTTATAGATATTGTTTATGTTTTAATCATCAATGAAAATAAAATTTCAGAACTCGTGGCATAAATATTTGAAGCTTTTAAATCTATACTTTATATACTTTTAAATTTATGCAGAAAATACAGATGTTTTTAACATTTCATGTGACTTAATTCTAAAATTCACAAAAATTTACCTTAAACATAATTTGTAGTATTCTTTCAAAGAGATATTGAGAATTTATGTGAAATGTAGAAACAAATTAAGCAGAAGTATTGTCATTACTAAAATTATTTGGGATTATATTTCTCGTAACGTAAATTTTATTCTTAATTTAACTAAAAAGGTATTATAACTACTAAGGTACTTTTTGTCAATAATGTTCCAAAATATCAAAACTAATAATTGAACCCGATTCAAGGGATTAATTAAAATAAAATACATTAACTAAAACTTAAAATCACCGCTCTCACTAATATCATCAATATAACACAAGCACAGAAAAATTTCAATATTTGATGGTAATCATTTACATTAATTCTAATTTAGTTTATTTATTAGAAAAACTCAACATTTCACAAACGATACAGAATTAAACTAATCTAGCAACCAAATAGCACGATTCAAATTGACATAATATCACAATAAAATCAAAAATCTTAAGTTGCTGCCTAACGGACCACATTATACAAACTATGTTGCATACGATTTTCATAGTGCATATTTTTCACTTTTTTATTTTAATAGTGCGGCGGCCTAAATGCGTGTAGAAACCTGCTGTGCAACGCACTTCGCTAAACGTTCTATCGCATATAATACTAAGATAAAATCAATTTTAACAGAATCTATGTATGTAAAACTATCGTAAATAAGGTGCAATACTATAAGTTTACACAATAATGTTAATTATTACCTCCAGTAAGGACTATTCCGGTGGTGGGCCGCCACCTGCATCTGGAGCCAAAGTAGTTGTACCGAGAAAGGTATGCCCTTTGTCGGATGGATCCCATATCATTGGTGCATAATATAGAAGAGCTAGCCATAGCACTATTACTGAAATTATAGTGCTTATAATCGAATATCTCATCTGGAATAAGAAATGCACACTAATGACTACGATTGTCGTTTTTCATTAAGACCGCAAGCGTTTGAAGAAAAAACTAATAATAATGAATAAAGGTAAATTGTAAATTAATAGTTATTATTTCTTTTATTTAATATTAGCATTTTATTAATAATGTCAAGAAATAAAGAATTACAGAAATAACCATTTCTCCAAAGACATTAAATATCCAAATGGCAAAAAAGAAATTACACATTTAATATCATAATTCATCCATTAAATATCCATCCATCCAAAAGTCCCATGCAAATCATTGTGCAGAAGTGGCATCTTTCATGGTTGCTTCTGTATCAAATGATTCTTTGAAATAAAACAATTATTAATGTTATTTCTAATTACCATTTTGGCTTTCGGTACTTTGCCAACATAGTGGCAAAAATAAGCCGGCGTATATAAGTAGGGACAAGCATATCCGAAGGAGCTCCCTATTCCAACACCCAATGCTACTAAATAAGCACGTTGTCCCCAAGGATCAGGACCCTTGAGTGCCTGTAATTGTAAACATTCATTATTTCTATAAAAATATCCTTTTTCTGATCCATATATGTTAAGTAGCGCAACTTAGATTACTGTAAGATACTTAGTTTTATTAATTTATTATTGCATACGCGCGCGTTGCCAGCGTTTTCGCAATGGGATAGTCGTAGAGAATGGATCAAATCCGAAAAATGCGAAGTGAAACCAAATCTATTTGTGTTATGTTTTGTGAAACATTTATGCTTATATTTTTGTAATATACTATTTGCATACATGTGTAGTGGAAACGAAACAACAGTCTACATGATAATACAATGCATTGTGGGCGTGGCTGTTGTGTTGTGTTGTTGTTATCTATAAAAGAGTCCCGCGGGGGATGTGTGGAGAATAGTTTAGGGCGATAGTTCGGGGCGATAGCTCCTGCTAGCGGCTTCATCCGCAGTTCTTTAATATGGGCAGTTCCAGTGGTATTAAGACTCGTTCTCGGAGCTGTGTTGTTCTTAAGAGACCGTTATTAACATCCAGTGGTCTGTCCAAGTCAGACGAGACATTAGGCGATACCTGGTGTGGTCCAGTTCCGAGCAACCAGAGATACGGACGGCGACTCAAGTCTAGAATCGGGGCACGGTACTGTGCAATTAATGCAACGCCAATTTACCCTATTTTTACAACTCAACAGTACAAACAGATTTACTACGCATAGAATACTGCTACCAGATACCAATTTTAAAGGTCGTAAATATAATGTAATAGGCAATGTATAGATCTACCAGAGCCTCTACCATAAGGCGGGCAATAGTATCTTTCCTAAGACCTAAAATAATAAAAAGTAAGTGTGAAAATTACCGCGCAAAGCACAAATGGCAGAAATATACAACAACCCGCAGTAGATGATACAATATTTGAGACCACACTGGCTCCTAAAATTACTATAAGTATCCCGACGTTCCAAGATCGATCAGTGATCATGCATCCAGAATTTTGGCCAATAATATCACAAAGACCAGTAGTTAGTGCTGAAACCATTATTGCCACACCACATCCTGTGACAAAATAAATAAAGGTTACTCAAGGATGCGGAATATGTCTTTTTTAACATAATTATTTAATTTTAATCTTTACAATATCTCAATATTTTATTTTAAATGTGAAATTGAGTTTATTTGTTACGCTTTGTAATTCTTTCACCAAGGGAAAAGTACATTATCATCGAGTAACTTAGGCTACTCTTTACCATGGTAACAATACATATTTTTTAATACAATATACAACCCGCTTCAAAGATTGTTATCATCTAATTTTCGTAGCAGTTTCATATATGGTCAATTAATTATTTTCTTGATCTAAAAAAAATTAACAGGCATCGTACATGAGTTCTTCCAAAATTGTTTTTTTTTTCCCTCATTGTGCATTCTTCCTTTTATTTTTTTTATTTGATTTGGTATTTAAAATAATTGTCATCGAAATTTGCATGGAGATTAGGCGAATTAATTAATTTGAAATATTATTAATGAATTTTCATTGCTCACTCAAAATATAACTTAAATGAAACGCCACTTTTTTCTTTAATCATTGCCTTAGTTTTAAATACAAAATACCATAAACTTGATCTGCTCACAAAACTTCAACAAAAAAATTTTTGTATTTTAATTCTCAACTTTAAACTGCTCTGCTGAACAATTGTCCAAAAGCCACTACAATTTTTTTCTCTTTACATAAGCAATATACAGTAAATAAATTAGGTTAATTATTACATATTATATCTAAATTCGTAATTACCTATAAGAAAAAAGTATCCATAGTTGACGTTCTTATCCACGTATTTCCACCACAATATTCCAGATTCCGCTTTCGGTTTCGGTAAATCTTTTCTTTCTGTAATAGATCATTCGTTATATTTCACTAACACTACTGATTATGATCTGGTCAAAACGAGTTTTTAATTTTGCCAAAATAAACATTTTTAAATAAGCCTTGTTGACCGTCTTCATACTCTCGTAATTAGTACTTTTTTATTGCATCGAAGTTGACTTAGGCAATCGTTATCACTGTTGAGATTTTAATCCACGAGAATATATTTTCTGTATGCATGCATGTTAAACTATAACTTTGTGCAATAAATTACTTTACATTGTTTTTGGCAGCATAGAATATAAGCAAAGAATAGAACTCGAGAGTTGCTAGTCTATATTGCACAAATTAAAATATTTTTATTATATTAGTATCATTTCTAATAACGTCGGAATTCTGCAGTTTTTTCGTTTAATTAAGTGTAAAAGAAGAATTTAGGCTAATACTATTTGTAATAAATTACTAATAAATAATTATAATTAATTAATTACTAATAAATAATTAAGTGTATACTTACTGCTAACGACGGTGTATTTAACAAAACTAAAGCCATTTGGTAAGGAATGTAATAAGACAGCGAAAATAGCAGCAACGGTGGCATCTTTCACACTGAAATTTTTAGTGAAAATAGTAATATTTATTTTGGTATCGTGTTAGTAAGTCAAAAATCAAGCGTAAAATTGTAACTTACTATGGTAATGGAGTTTCTTCGGTAGATTTTTCATCCATTATATATTCTGTCCATCCACCTAACCAATAATTCCACCGGTATGCATGTGTGAAAAGCCATAATATTAACCCCGATATGCAAAGCTAAAAAAAACATGTTCGTTTTACACCTGGAGTGCTTGCACCTTAAAAAAGTTCAGTGCTTGCGTCCAAAAGTGGGTTACATGTGTAGCCCCACTTTCGGGTCAAGTTTCTCTAAATCTGTAAGACTAAAACAAAACATGATTTTATGTAATTAATCAATGACTTTATTTTAACACAAAAAATAAACAAAATATTAATATTATTTTCATGAATTTTCATTAGACTAGATAATGAACATTTGTACTAATTTTCAGAACCCCTTTTTCTAGGTAAAATGTTAAAGTCTGCAATCATGAATTAATTAATTATTTATTCTTATCCATTGAAAGTGAAACAGTGATTAAATACGTATGTGGATGCATAGAACAACAACAACAAGAAATAATGGTACCTTCTCGTGTAAAGTCATTTGTTTTGGTAACTCTGCCTTTCTAGCGGCAAGCGCTTTTTGCAATAGTGTCGTGCATGCACTAGTCATTTCACCCTCGGCTTGCCTAAAATATGTTTTGTATTAATATTAGTTTGTTAGTACCTTTATTTAGTAACTTTTGTTTTAGTCAGTTCGAAATAGTTGTGTTGGCGTTTTAGGTAATAAATAAGAAGGTTGGTATAGCAATTATTACTTTTTTTACGGGACATCTCTCCCACAATGTAACTAACTCATGTACACAAGGATCCTCAGCAGTGATCCACGAACACACACTAGTGATGAAACTCGGTAAGTCCCAAGAAAAAATTTAAACTAAATTGGACCACGCAATGAAATTAATCAGAAGATAAATGGAGGAGTTGGAAATATGAATATTTAAATCCACTTCCCTTCTTAGCAAAGTATGCGAGAAAAAAATAATTAAAAATAGGCATACATCCTTTTAAACAGGGAAGCACCACTTCTGCAAAATATTATGGGTCTTGTGTGTTGTGATTTCTATAATATGTAAGGCAGAATCGCCGCATAACGCACGGAAATTCTCCCTATAGTCCATCTAATCGAATAGGCTAAAAAAATGATACCGTTTGACCCCTCATTCGTCTTAGAACAGATTCTGGTTTGGACAGATTCTGGTTACATAATTTTTTGTCACTTAACTGCCACATTTTGTAATTGAAAAAAAAACTCCTCAGACTTAAAATACTTTCTAATACAAATAATCAATCATCAGATAGACATTTGAGAATGACAATTTTGTTTCCATTTTCTTAAATCGAAATAATGTCCCTTTTGAACCATCAGTCCTTTATAATTGTTTTAGGGTTCGTTTAACATCTCTGAACATCTGACGCACCCAGGTTTATTTTTCGGTTTTTTTAAACCCAGGGCTATGTGGAAGATTATACCTTGTTATTAGAGGCACATTAGCACCTAACTATTAATTTTGGACGTGCTTATTTTTTATTTTGCATATAACTGGTGTTCCCTTACATTTTTAAAAACCTATAGCCAAACATAATATTACTTATTCTATCATGTAATCTTTCAAATCCCATAGAACCCGACGATGCTCGAGAAAATTCCCATTTAGCATCCCGTCATCACCATACTATAACTTACTTACCTATCTATTAGGATCATATGGTAAAACAAATTCAATACGAATATTATCAAAGAGACTGGGAAAGCAAATACTGTATATTGCAGGTAATTGAAAAGATCTTCATATTCCGCTTCTTTATCTGGAACAGACCTTAAAAAAAAACAAAACAGTTGATAATACACAAGTTTTGAAGGTCCGATGGAAGTTACTTAAGAACCATCACTTGTCATTGCCAACAAATGGATAGACCAATACTAATAGTATTGTAGGTCTCACCTATGAAGTTGGGAGATTTTTTAAGTCAGCATTTTCATACTTATTTATCTATGGATTGGCGCACATCTCGAAATTGAAATATAATACCTTTAAACGAGCAATACTTGCATATATATATATTTAATCTGAATCTCGGCTCTAACGATTTTCATGAAATTAAGTATGCAGGGGGTTAGGGGAGCGATTAATCGATCTAGCTACGTTTCATTTAAAAAAAGTACAAGCAATCAAGCAAAGCTACTAACTTTTAAGCTACTAACCAGATACTATTTTTTTTCGAAAGCCATGTTATTTAATTTAAAATTTAGTGATATGTTTTAGATACGTGTTTTTTTTTATGATATTTTGGTGGTTTTTGGTGCCATGGACATTCTGAAAAATTTGTAAAATTTTCGAAAATGAGTTCCTACATTTAAATATCACTGCGCAAACAACATGAAACATTAACGACGTGTGCGGACCTAACACTGCTTGCCTAAATACGATACATTATTGGTTCAATAGTATTATATTTTTGAGTTAAAGAACGAGTCAAAAGAACGATTATAGTCGACAACGACGAATAGAAGGCAATAGTCCAACGAGGAATAGAAGGATCCAACTCAATCTATGGCTGAGCTTGCTGCAGCTTTAGACAAAACAACATTAAAGCACTTGCGTCTAATCGTAAAGATAAAAAGCTAGATAACCGCCAACAATCAGCGAGACTTACGTATCGAAGCATGTATAGTACTAGTGAATCGGCATAGAAACGAGGGAATCCTGAATGGGTGGACACGGGTAGGTACAGCACCTAATTAGTGCGCAAAAAAAAAATTACCCATAGGAAGATGATAGTGACTGTCTGGTGAACCAGTGCTGGTCTGCTCATAGTTTCTTACCGGACCGCAACAGTGACGGCCAGATGTCTATTGCCAAGAATTCAAACAATGATGGAGAAAATCGCTCTTCCCCATTGCTCCTCTCATAACAGACATAACTTCACGAAAGACTATCATAAAGCTGTTAGTTACGTTTTGTGTTGTTTACTGTTGTTTACGTGTTACTTACAGCTGGAAGCTCTCCGTCACCCACCGTACTCACCGGAATTTACCGCGACAGATTTTTACTTTTCTCTGAATTCAAACAATTTTTTAAGTGTGAAAAACATCAAAAGACAAGGGGCAGTATAAAACGCTTTCGCTGACTTCATCGCCTCCCGTCAGACATAGTTTTACAGTAAACCCTTTATTGTAATAGTCATAAACAAAGTGCTATGAAATCGACAAAATTTTCCAACTTCATAGGACCTAAAATAAACTAATACAATACGTACTCGTGAAAAATAGCACGGAAACATAATGTGGGTGTTGCAGCGTGAACTATAGCGATACTTCCTGCAACAACAAAATTGAAATAGATATAAAGTGCTTCAGTCACAACCAAATTTCGAAGTATGTTACTGATTTCATAGGCCTGTAATTAGATCTAACTGAATTTGATCCGACCTGTGAAATTACTTAGTTAGTAGTCTTTTTTCCTAATATAAATAACCACATATTATAACAAATGCGAAAGTAGCTTTTTTTTTACTCCTAGTTATATTATTCCTTAACTATTAAACCAATCATTAAAGAATAATGGCAGAAACTATTTTTTTCTAAGTCTGACTTATGGAGTGCAGAGGCAATCATATGGAGGGAAAAATTGAAAAAGTGTACAGCTGCATACTGAAAATAGAGCTCACTGGCGTACAAAAAACTACTCTGTTGTAGACGGAATGAAGTGTGCCGAGTTCAAAATACAAAATTTCATGAACCTTAACTATTTATTAGTCTTATTCTTATGAACAGTTTTCACACACAGAGATGTTTCTCCTTGTCTCTACTCTCCATAGTCTAACAGCAGATAATAATACAGGGCCCAGGAATATACGACTACAAATTACTTACCAATAGCCGAAGATGTGTGAATGGCACTGTTCACTACAAAGCGAATCTCTTCTAAATCAGGTTCAGCTTCTGACGTGCCATATTTCTTCTGCAAAAATATAATTATTAATTTCGTGAGTTTTTATTAATATTTCGGAACGCACTCTAATAATCTAAAAGGAAACAACCTCATCAAAAGCTAAAACTGGGTCACCCAGAAGGAGAGGCAGACTGGCGGATCTGCGGAAGCAAGAAGGGCCGAGAGTGAGCTCTTACTAAAGGCCCTGTTTGAGAAGGTCGCGTCCGACAAGTCGAGCACCATGGACACGAGAGGCATTGAAAATGTAGAGGAGCTACGCCGCAGGGTCGGGAACCCCGTGCACCGGATCGAAAAGGCGATCGGCGTAGCAGATTGCTTACTTTAGACGTCCCCGTGATACGGGGGTCCCGACCAGGAGGCACTTATGACAGTAGTACGAGGTCATTGACGAGGTAATAAGACTCCTCGTGACCGAGAATAAGGCCCACGAAAGAGAGAAAGCCTGCCTCGAAACGGATCTCGCCAAAGTGTCGCATTGGATTCCACTCGTGCCCTTTAGATTCTCAGCGGGGGGCAAGCATGCCGACCACCTAGTTGGCAGAAAGTTGGAAGTCGGGAGGCCGGCCTTCTGCCCCTAAGCCATCGAAGGAGACAGAGGGTGTCGCTGGACAGCGGCAAGGTTCGCGACGGGATGCGGAGATAGAAATCCAATAATGGATCCAAATCTCCAGGCGAACCTGGGCCACGGTGCCGCTCAGGATCTTGTTTCACAGTGGTCCATCAACATCGCTGCTGACGCCGAGCCATACGTCCATCGGTTTCTCGGGGCTGCCTGGGATATCGACTTTGATAGCTGCACTTGGATAGCACTGGTGCATGGCACGGACTTCAACGCCTGGTCGGAGGCCTGGGTTCCCGGCGCAATAATCAGAGAAGCAGGGCACTGGAGAACTGGGCTGAAAGATTCGGTTTAGTTATCCTAAACCGGGGGGCCGTGGCCACGTTTGTGACGGCGAGGGGCAGTTCGATCGTGGACATCTCGTTCTCGTGCCCCGGAGAGGAGACCGGACCGGGTTTAACGTCTCCGCTCCCACGAATGTAGCGCCAGTTAGGCCGGCTCCACCTGAGCCACGTTGGGCCCTCAAGCCTCAAGCGGCTTTGATCGGGAGCTCCTTCTGGAAGCTGCCATCGTTCAGGCTTCGGCCCCTGCGCCGGAAAGGCCTGTCTACGTGGATGTCGAGGCAGAGTGGTTCCGGGAGGCTGTGAACCGCATCTGCGATGCGGCGATGCCTGGGGTTCATCCCAATTCTGCGAGGCGATAGGTCTACTGGTGGTCGCCGGAGATTGCAAGGCTGCGAAAAGCCTGGGTGACCGCGCGCCGCCAGTGTTCCAGGTTCCGCAGAAGGCGTCGCCGTTCTACCCACGGCTTAAAGCCAAAAATACCACCCCGGGACCCGATGCCAGGCCGAGGGTGGGTCCTAGCCCTAGTCCTTATCCGAAAGGAGGGGACCATAGTGTTGCTTGAAGAGGTGTGCAAACTCTTCGAAAGGGTGATTGCATGGCGCCTCGTCAAGCATCTCGTCATACTGGGGTCGGATCTGGCGGACAACCAGTAGGGCTTCCGTCGGGGGCGGTCCACCGTCGGGCACGCCGTCATTGCGGCGGTAAGACCCGTTATGGAGGATTGGCTCGAGAGGCGTCACGGGACCCTCTCATACCGACTGACGCAGGTGATCACTGGGAAAGGATGTTTCGGGGATCAGGTCCAGTAGGACCGGTCTCGGTAGACGTGAAATGTCGTGCGGTGTTCCGCAGGGGTCGGTGTTAGGGCCACTCTTGTGGAACATTGACTACGACTGGGTGCTTCGTGGTGCCTTCTTGGATGGTGTTGCCGTTACGTCGGACGACACGCTCGTGACGGCGCGCGGCAAGACGCACCGTGAGGAAACCCTGAGGGCTACGGCAGGGGTTTCGGCAAGTCGTGGAGTGGATCCGGAGGCTGGGTCTTGAGGTGGCTCTGCACAAAACCGAGGCCTTGTTCTTTCATGGGCCTCGGAGGGGGCCACCTGAGGGATTCAGCCTCATACGAATAGTAGGAGGCACTTGCATCGACATCGAGACCTCGATGAAGTATCTGGGACTCGTCCTTGATGGCCGATGGGACTTCGGACATCATTTCCGAGGTCTGATACCCATGTTGGTTCGGGCAGCGAGTGCATTGGCACAAGATGACTCCTGCAGGAGACTCCAGGGGTTGTGCGGCCCATGGCCCTTTATGGGGCCTCAGTATAGGCGGAGGACCTGAAGGCCAACAACGTCGCACTACTGTCATGACCGCAGCGAATACTGGCCATCAGGTCATAAAGGGGTACCGCACGATCCCCTTTGAGGCGGCGAGTCTCCTGGCCGGAACTCCACCATGGGACCTGGCGGCAAGAGTCTCTGTATCGGTGGCACAAGGAGGCGCCGGCCAGAGTCCTGAGTCTCGAGAAATCGAGCATCAGAAATCCCAGGTCCTCGTGGAGGAATGGAAGAAACGAATTGGGCAACCGAGCCCTGGGTGGCGGTAAGACCCGTTATGGAGGATTGGTTCGAGAGCAATCACGGGACCCTGTCATACCGCTTAACGCAGTTGATCACTGGAAAAGGATGCTTTGGGGATCACCTGTGTCTGATCCGCAAGGACCCAACGCCTGGTTTCACTCATTTGGTGGCTAATTCATTTTGAAAGGCTACAAAAAAATAGATCACACAGGTTTTCTTTGAAGCACTCCGGTGGAGCCGTTCCATTACATTACAAAGTTTGTAAAGGCTGTTTAATTAGCAGAGGTCTTCTTTTATTAATACAAGTGAGTGAGGCGAGGCTCAACCTCCGCCCCCACTCCTGGAGAAAAGCACTCAAAGGCGAGCAACTCATGTGTGACGTACACTTATGTAGCAACTGAGGCGCGGCGGTAGTTATCATTAGGTGCTTATTTAAAAAAGGATAAAATAACTTAAATAACCTAAATTAAAAACCTAATTAAAACCTAAAAATAAAGTAAATAACCTAACTTAGTACCCCTAGTCCTTGAGTAGAGACAAAATAACGTATAAAATTTGGAAATACTATAATCCAATACATTAACATAAAAAAGAACAAGTATCAAATTGATCTTACTTCTAGACTCATCATTGCCGTAGTAAAATATTCTGTAATCATAGAAGACGACACCAGTCTATTACTCAGCATTCCTAATAAATATGCTGATGTGGAACATTTGTACACCATTCTGCAAAAATGTGGACATCAAAAAGAAATTATTCATCACGTATTCACGCCATTTAGACATTATATTCATTTTAATTTCATGAATTTACATACAAACATTTATTACACAGTCGGATTATTACCATTGCAGTTTTTTTTAAATAGGCAAAAATAATCAAATTAATGAATTTAACATTCATTTATTATAATATGATTATTTTCGAAAACTATTTCCTAGTTTTGGACAAAATATAATTATGAAACAACTTAGAAAATAATCAGTTTTAGTCAGAAACTGCCATTTTGCACGTAGCATGAGTTCTGTGGCGTTTGGTAAATGAAGTTTTTAGAGATTAATTTTGAAAATAAAAATTAAGTAGGTATAATAGGTTCACAGAACAACAGCACTGCAGAGAGAAGGAAAACTTGACACAGACCCTGTGGGGTCTTTTACAAGCAATTTAAGCAATAAGCAATTTAAGATAGCAGTACGGCACTCACTCGTGACCCAATACTACACTTATGTGCGAATGAAGTTCAAGTAAAATATTTAGTATTGAAGCCAAAATCCATCTAAATGGCGTGCAATGGGAGAGGCCTATGTCCAGCAGTGGACTGCGATAGACTGATGATGATAATGATTTAGTGTTCAGTTGTAGAATTACTTTTTCATGCTGTGTTGGTCCGCATCACCGAATGACATTATCGACAGCGCTAAGCGCCGATCATTGCCACAATTATTTAAAAGTAACATTACCATTGATGTCAATAGAAATAAAGCTATATCAGCCTGAAATAAAAAATAAACAATCTATTACACAAAAAAGAAGTAGAAAAATGGATGGATGGTGTTGAGTATTTAGATTAATTTTACTCAATAGTGTCATGATTAAATGATTATTGTAAAATTGAGGTAGTTACATATTCAGGACATTTAGATACAAATCCAAAACTTGTTACACCTAGACTATAAATATAGTTGTTGACCCTAAGTAAATTGGGACCAAGTGTAAGATGATGTTTTGTTTGTGGTTGATATACATACATACATAACCGATTGAACTAGACCTATACAAAGAATAAAGTAACTTTTGCAAAATCACTACTTTTTCTCAATTCTTTTACATATGTAATGTTATGTTATGAAAACACTAACTTGTAAACACATTTCAGAATTAATTAAGAGCTAAATGAAAATGTGACGATATACTGTGTATCTGACTGTCATATACTCGTATGACATTTTCAAAGAACAACGTTACAAATGCATATAAGACCTATTCCTAGGCGTTCCATGGATTCACCGCGTGGGTGCCGGGTCCATCGCGTGATAGATGGGGGCGACACATGCGACTTCGACAGCGCCTGAGACTTGCGACCTTTTTTTTTTTGTTGACGGGGTGGAAAATCCCTTCGGATCTCCGGCTCTTCGCAATAGCCAGGTGTATGTGATGTTTCGACTAAAAACCACCTTTACAGCACTTACCCTGTCTTAGGCACCCTGCCATGTTATTTCAGGTCCCCCCCAGATCGACGCCGCGCCTTTTTTTTAGCCAAACCCTATCCCGGGGGAAGAAGGCTTCCCCCGCCTATCGGCTAATCCGTCGGGCACGCCGTCATTGCGGCGGTAAGACCCGTTATGGAGGATTGGCTCGAGAGGCGTCACGGGACCCTCTCATACCGACTGACGCAGGTGATCACTGGGAAAGGATGTTTCGGGGATCACCTGTGTCTGATCCGCAAGGAGCCGACGCCTGAGTGCCACCACTGCGATGGCCAGACCGTGGACACGGCTCTCCACACGCTGGCAGAGTGCCCGGCGTGGGTTAAGCAGAGGCGAGACCTCGTGGCAGCCATCGGAGTGGGAGTTCTCTCGCTCGATAGCCTGATTGCGGCTATCGTGCGGAGCGAGAGTGCGTGGAACTCGGCGAGCAAGTTATGCTCGCGAAGGAGACGGCGGAGCGGGACCGGGAGGGGTTTAGAACTCTACCGGCCCGCCAGACCCGGGAACGGGCCAGTTACCGCAGGCGACTAAGGCGCCGGAGGTCGCGGAACGACCTCCGTCCTCCATAAGCGCAGGCCTGGGAGTGACAGGTGAGGCCATCTGTCACCCTAGCAGAAGCAGGCCGGGGTGGCAGCGAGCGCGTTGCGAAGCGCTCTCGCTTCCAGGGAGCAGAGGGAACATGGGGTTCCCACACAGGGGGGATCGTCTACTAGTTGTAGATGGCCCGAGGTATGTCGGGGCACCAGGGACTTTCTTTCTAGGGTATACCTGGTTCCCCGGCTATTAGTACCCGAGACGGCGTGCGGTTTTAGTCGGTTCGAGTCCGACATGCCACCGATAGGTGGTATTCGAAGGGATTTCCGCACGGAAAAAAAAGGGCCTTGCTACTTGTAAATCTAATGTAAAATGTCGTAAAACTAAATATTGTTTAGACACTGAAAAGTGTCTGAACAATTTTTTTGTCAATAAAGTCTTTCCTTAAAGTCTATTTGGTAATATGTACATGTGTAACTTTGTTCTTCGCATTCTCAATGCAATTTCTCAAGGACCCTTTCGAAAGAAAATTAATATCTAAATTGACTACCACGTAAATACATCATCTAGTGTGCAATATGTTTGTGGGCCAAAATATTTATTTATTAAAGAAACGATCAAGGGCTTGTTATGTATGTATGTATGAATACGCCGCGCTGTTTCAACTCCTTAATAGGAGTTGAAACAGCGCGGCGTATTCAGGAACTACTTATGGGTAAATACTGTCAATATTGTCAGTATTTACTGATACTTTACTTTGTTTATTATTTTACTGGTTCAGTTCAGTGGCAATTAGATGCCTAGTGATAAAAAATGATAAATTAACAGAAAATTGTATTCTAAAATTCGTAAATGAATGATTAACTAAATAAATGTTTCGATATGTTAAAAGAGGAATGAGATATAACTAGAAAATAAGAAAATAGGACGCCAAACAATTTAACCCACATATTATGCTTATGTAGAAATTATGTTGGCTAAGAATCGAAACTTTAAGGAGAAAAAAATGTCTATTTACTTACATTCATATAACAAACACAAGTTTCTCTGGAACCTATAGTTCCAGTCATGGGCAGAAAAAATAAAGGAAAGAATGCAACGACCGGAGGATTAATGGGTCGGACAATAAATAAAAGTATCATGCTCGTCCACATAACCTCTATCTTCTTGGGAAGCTGTAAAACAACGAAGTATAAAACTATAAAATTGCCATTTTTCTATACTTATTAAATATGTATATGTTTCGGGCGAGTAAGGTTTTAGTTGTTATGTAACATGTATACTTACATCATGTTTTTCAAAACACAAAACAAACAGAAGGATGACAAGGGTCCAACCAAGTAAGCCTCTATAGTGACATTTCAACAAATTTTTAATTCTGTACATAAAACCTGGAACTGGGGTTTTTGGAGGTGGAGTCAGTCCGCTAAAAGAAGAGAAAATTAAATTATATTATTTATATTTGTTTATATATTACTATATTTATTTGAATAGTTGTTTGTAGTCTGATATTCTGAGAAGTATTTTTTTATGTTAGAGGGGGCAGACGAGCAGACGGGTTCCATGGAAAGCGACCATCGCCACCCATGCACGTCTGCAACTCAGGAATTACAGAATAATAATATTTTTATGTTACAGAGGGTAAATAAGCCCAACAGGATACCTGCTGGTAATTGAATACTGCCACGTACGAACATTTACAACCTTTGACGCAATGATAACAGTAGCAGGCATCCAAGTTATGTGGATGGAAATATTGTCGCTTTGAAGGGTGGAGGAAAGCTGCGGCCGGTGTAAGTTAAAGAAAGCCCTGTGGGCACTGCCCATAATACAAGCGATAGAGAATGCAGAGTCATCATCACCATCAACAGCCTTTGATAGTTCACTGCTGGACACAAGCATCTCCTTAGAAAAGAGATGTGAGAATGCAGAGTGGAGCTCAGCAGCTCTTTGCAGAAAATGGGTGTTTAATAATTACTATCAAGTAAACCCTCTTCCAAAAAAACATTTTTTAAATGTTATATTAAGGCAATCAAGCAGACGCGTCATAGGGATGCACACGGAAGCTTTGTAAAATATTTCTTTTGAAGCTTCATGTTGTCGGTTTTAATTGTTTAAACTCAAGGTAGTTTATAAGAATCCAAGTCTATCGTTAGCAGTAATTACTTGCTTTGGAGGCAGTTTTAACAGCGTCGTAACCAACTTCTATCAATTTTTTTTTTTTTAGCAATACTTACAGTAGTTTTTGAATCTTATGTACAACTCCATCATCAGGCTTTTTTCCCGGTTTCCTGTCAATAAAATTGTAATTAAATTATGAAGAATAAAAAAGTGCCTGTATAACTATACTCTGGACATTAGTTCATTTTAAAACGCGTGGTAGGAAAATTAGATGTAGTATGCAAATCATCATCATCATCAGCCTATCGCAGTCCACTGGGATAACTCGGGTGATCGATTCGAAATCCCCCTGCTGGATATAGATCTCTCCTCTTGCACGCCACTTCATTCAAAATCTACATCTAAAATTAAAAGAAAAATATTGAAATGCACTAAAAAGAATGAAATAAACTTTTTCTTTAAAACTTCTACCAACAACTTATAACGGCATTACACAATTTTTATGATATTAAGCTTGTCGCAAGATTTAAGTACTCGTAATTACTTAGTTTCCATCACTTAGTAGTGTTGGATCGGATTGGATGAGAACAGCAGACAGAAAGCAGTGGAAAATATGGGGGGAGGCCTATGCCAAAGAGGCGATTAATACCTAAAATATTTGAAAGTAATGGTTTCTTAACACAATAATAAATAGAGAACGATAAATCAGGATTCGAATATGTTCTTGAAACGTACGGCCCACAAAAATAATTTCATCCAAATAAATCAGACAGGCGTCTCCAGTTAATCCGGTGAGTACTAGGCTCCATCAGTCTTTCAAAAGTTACATGCGCGTTACATAATCCAAAGGGTTATGCCCTTTGGATTATGTAACTGTTTGTTTGAACTGCCACAGCCCCTTCCTTGTAGAAAACGCAGTCTTCTCCTTGTCCTTGGGATCTATTTCTACCTGCCAGTATCGACTTTGCAAATCTAAGGTGCTAAGCCACTTTACCCCTGTTAGCATATCCAGTGTGTCATCTATTCTTGGTAATGGGTAGCTGTCATTCTTCGTAATGTCGTTCAAACGGTGTTAGTCAAAACAAAAACGCATGCTGCCATCCTTTTTCTTTACAAGCACTCTAAGTGAACACAAAGGGCCAGATGAAGGCTCTATAACGCCGCCCCTCGCCATTCCAATTCTACCTCTTTTTCGAGTGCTGCCGGTAACCTTCTTGGTCGCTGACGAATAGGCAACTCATTCCCGGTGTTAATTTTGTGTTGAACTAAATCAGTCTTTCCTATATCAGCATCATTAGACGAGAAAATATCGGCGCACTAGCACGTGTTGCCTGTCACTAAGATTTAACAAACATACTGCAGAGATGTTAACGGTACTTACTAATGTTCGTGCGATTTTCCATGGAAGGTTATTATCTAACCTTTCAATTAGTACACACCGATGCAATTGTCCAGAGTTATGAGGAAGACTAATAGGCACGATTGTTTCTGATCTGGGAGTAAGAACGACTTTCTTTAAGCTGTACACTTTGCCTGATAATGTTCCCTTCATGACAGTTCTTCTTGACTACATCTCATTACACCTTGCTTAATGTTAATCTGACAACGATTTTTCCTTATAAAGTCTAGGCCAAGGATGAAGTCGTCAACTACATCAGCCTCGAAGACGTTATGATGATAGGATTGGTTGTCCAACTTCAACTCCACCTTCTGTTAGCCTCGGACGAGTATGCGCTGACCAGTGGCTGTTACGAGGTCTATTCGCTCACGGTTACATGTGATGGCAATCAGAAACCGATTTGCAAGTTGACCGATGACAACTGTGCGAGAAACTCCCGTATCAATCACCAGCTTAAATTGCGTTCCGTTAATTTCGTCTCTGATGACCAGGCTGTTCCCATCATGCTAGATCGAAATCCTTGGGGCTCCTTGTTTACCAGCCAGCACTCGCCCCGTAGTCCTGGCGTCTACTCGTTTCCCTGCTGCTGCTGGACAGTGCCATTAGCCGCCCTAATCTCCTGAGGCCGCTCGTCTTCACTTCTTATACTTCGCTTAGGGCAGCTAGACCGAAAATGTCCCTTTTCGCCATAGGCGTAACATTTAGAGCTATACCCCTTACAACGCGCCCTCTAATAAATTATCTAAAGGCTGGAAGAGGTTGAATAATATTGCATTCAAAAATCGCCTTAAAGACTTTGTTATACAAAAGGCATACTAGTAGTACATTTTTTTTTGTAGATTGCATTCAGTAATTACTTAAATAATGTAATATAATATTAACATGTGATCTCTTTTTTAATCAATATTATTTGTGTATTTTTAATTTTAAAACAACCTTTTTTTTATTTGTACGCCGTAAAAGAAACGGCTAAACACGTTGGAACAAATTTAATTTTTAATACCCTGCATGCCCATTGATTATGCACACGTGTTTAAACAAATAAATGAATTTGATTTCATTTGATTTGAAGAACAGGCCATTTACTAAACAATACGTGGGTTTTCAGTTTATTTGGAAAGTAACTACCTCTAACTATCAATATTATAATAGTATGCATACAAATAATAAAATTTAATTACTTAGGTTCCGGTTTGGGAGCCATGTTGAGATAATATTTCAATCACAATTTTCACAATGCTATCAACCAGGTTACTTCTTACACTGACACAAAAATGACCTCAAAATATTTGACATAACTTTGAGTTTGGAATATTAAAATTTTTGCATAATTCAATGAGTAAGGAGGTATTATTATTTTGCAATACTTGTTTACTATACGCACGATCAAAACTTTTAACAAAAAAAATATAGTTTGAAACAACTAAAAATGACTTTTTTTACTAGCTGAACTAAAAAGTAAGGTAAAAATGCGTGGGTGCTAGATCTCAATTGTTGTAAAAATATTCTATTGACAGATATTGGCAGAAGTATAGTTATTATTAAATATTTCGAAAAGAATCCCAAGTTTTTCACGATAAAATGGTTTTGTTTAACTTATTGAAAAATAATTTCCATTTTTAGTTCAGCTAGTTACAAAAACGTGTTGTTTTTAAACTATAATTTCTTTTTACTTTTTCACTCATTAGTGATGATTTTTTTCTTCTTAGGACTAAAAAAATAACAAGTAAGTAAGCCGCGCAATTAATCTATAATTTTTTTTAGTGCATAGGAAGCAAAGGCAGTAGGACCACAATGGATACGAATAGCTCAAGATTGTAAAAAAATGCAATCCTAGGCAGAGGCCTTCACGTGCCTTCACCTTTTAACAAAACAGAAAAAATAATTCATTAGGAATCAAAAGGCTTTATTATTATTATTCTCTTCATTATATTTGTAAATATATATTGATTACATTTTTGAATGTACTACAAAAGAAAAACAATTAATACATTTAAAACTTAGCGTAGTGGTTTAAGCGGTCGCCTACTACGCTGAGTATTGGGGGTCCGATCCCCACATGGGACGACACTTTGTGTGATCCACAAATTGTTGTTCTGAGTCTGGGTGTTCTTTGTGTCAGTTTTATGTATGTTTGTAAAGTCCTCCGCGACACAGGATATAAAAAAATTAAGATTTAAAAAAAACTATAAAAAATACTAGACCACCGACATCGAGTACAGAAATACGGGTACGGAAATCTCGTGAGATAAATCCAAATATTTTATTTATATTTCTTTTTCAACTTTCATGAGATTCTCATCCTCCTGTTAATCACAGCAATATGTATTTGTATTTATTTAGAGCATGTAAGACTTAAAGCTTCAATTGTTAAAAAAACAATAATTGCGCGACGCTCTAATCGATCTGTCTCTTGATAGATCGATTAGAGCGTCGCGCAATTAATGTCCAATCGATAAATATATATTTAAATAAAGTTATTTAAATATAAATTTATCAATTGGAACACTAATTACCTTTGGTAGAATAAATAATGTAAATGTCTAGCAACATCATTTTTGACACAACAACAAAAAATGTCTTCTTGGGAAGTCACCAAGTGTAGTGTAGTACATTGCATTATACTGAAATAGAGGAATATCTCAATCGCTTTTGGGAGAAAATTACAAAACAACGGCATCTGTTGGGCGCGACCAACAACTTTTCTCTTACTCAACATATGAAAGGATATATTTATACCTACATATCTATAGTATAGGTAATACTTATTGTATACAGTATTGTTCATATTGTGTACAAATATACCTATGCAATTAGAACTTTGTAAAATAAAACAATGTAAAAACAAAACGTTTATTTTCTTCTTTTAAAAACTTTAACAGACATTGCAACACAAAAATAAAGCGTTAAAAATAAGTGTATCTACCTCAATACTACTTGAAAACAACACACAAGGATAATCTCAACAAAGATCAGAAGAACCTAGGCTCAACTCACTCATTAATGAAGAAATCAGAGAATAATTGTTATTAGTTCCAAGCAAGTAAACATTCAACCACCAAAAAAAATGCCGGTATGAATGTGTCATGTTGACGGACAACATTCATAACAACAGCGGTTGCAAATGTTGCTGCATTAACGCTGATGAAAAGTACCAAAACAATGGCAATAATGAAATGATATAGGCACTAACTTAGGGTTTCTTAGAATCGTGAGTTTTAGTGTTAATTTTCTTTTAAAGTTTTTAAAAATTTTAATATAAGTCTGCATTTATCAATTTTATCATACAAAATAATTATTAGCTCAACGTATAAAAAAAATAATGGCAACATTTTATTTCCAAAAGTCATTTTATAATGATTTCAGAAAATAGTGATATACATTCCGGGATAATAAAAACTAAAACAACTCACTTTATGTTTAATGCGGATTATACCGAAAGTAACGACATCTTACAGTAGCGACTGGCGAAATTACATGACGTACACACGTATTATACGCCTAAATGAAGTGAACGTAATGTTGTTAAAATGTTAGAACAAATAAAAAACCATTGTATTTGGTTTCTTTATTTTCGTAACATTTCAAGGATTGTCGACTAAGACTGTACCGCCTGTATGTGTGATTGATAATGATGATGTATGGTTACTGAACAGTGAGATTTCTTCTCATCATATAAACAAGAAAGTTCAAAAGTAAGGTCAGGTAACAAAGGTGAATTGGATGTCCATGGATCTAGAAGCTAAACGAATGATTGTGTCAAAATATGTAGCGTGTTATGCAAATGAGGAAACCTCTTTTAATAACAAAGAGTCTTCAGATTATATCTTAGCCTTAGATGAACCGAGTATAGAGCAAAAATGATATGATAATGATACCATTGAGCGATTCCTTGGAGAGAAGGAGGTAGACACAGTAAATCAAGAACCTCTGGAAAATCAATATTATAGCCAAAAGATGTAAAAGAGATATAATCTTAGATCTAAAGCACACGGGAAAATTCTTTTGTAACCTTTAATAACGCTGTTAATTGCCTTAAAATAGCCTTGCCTTAAACCTTAAAATAGTGAGATACGGACGGATTTAATGTGTGATTGCAATCATAGTGCATTGCCGGTTCAACGTATTCTGCACAGAGTTACATAAGGAACAGGATCTTACTAGCACCACGGCAGAAAACCGGCTCAGTATCTGACATGCTAATACCACTCGGCGTGCCTAGCGTGGACATGGCAACGGCGACAAGTTTACGGAAGCATTTAATTTATTCTCCAACAGATTTTGAGATAAAGTTTATTTTGCCGCAAAGCGATTGATATCGAAAACTGACTTAAGAAAATCAACGATACAGCTACTGAATTTAAATCTAATATCAATCGTATTAAGGAAGACTTCTTAAGGAAGAGATGTGCGGTATCCCCTTATGACCCTGATGGCCAACACTCGCTGCGGTCGTCACTGTAGTGAGACGTTGCAATCACAAATCCCAATTAAGAATAAAATACCCAAATCACGCGACATATAAAAGATAATTTAATCTCACAGTCTGACAACTGCTAACCTTAACGCCAGCGGCAAGCTTTACATAATAAAGGACTTCTCAAGAAAGGAAAAGAAGCAACGAAGGCAAAGGAGTCCCAATGTGTTTGACACCTGCAAGTCAAGAGACACAAGTGCATTGCTGCTCTTTAGCTGTGAGAGTTTTAAAGGAGGTGTTGGACCTGTGTTAACCTCATGCACTTGGTTAAAGGCTACGAAAGAATTCCTAAGATCTTCAGAGAACCTTAGGTTAAAAATGCGATGCCATTCTACTAAGTTTGTTGACAATTCCTTCTCTGATAAAACAGTTCGGTTGTGGAATAGCCTCATCGTCATCCGAGCGTTGATTCTGGATGCGTCTGGTGATGCAAGGGATCCGCTTTCCGACTTCGCACGAACTTCAGCATTCAACGTTGTGAGACTATTGGCATGAAATATCATCCCTTCCTTACTCCTTCCGCGTGACTTCATACATCCGCCGCAACATATTCATCTCCGTGACATGCAGCCTCCTACTTGTGTCGCTCTAATAATGGCCATGCCTCGTAGCCATGTAAAGGACAGACCTAATGATGGTTTTATAGACCTGTCCCTTCAAACTGACCGACATTTTGGGGTCACAAAAGACACCTGACTTCACACGCCATTTGGCCCAAACGGCAGCGGCAGGTGGCGTACCTTAACGTCGTAATCGATGTCACCGGAGACGTGACAGATCCCAGGTATTTGACCTGGTCCGCTTGATCACGTCATGGCCTTTGCAGACAGATGTGGGATCTGTTGAGCTTAACGCCAAGTACTCGGTATTCATCACCATAAGCTTCTGACCGCCGTTTTCAAACGTCGCCTTTCACACCTTCACACGTCGTACCAACCTGCCCCTGTCCATGTCTGGTATCAATGGGTCAATGGGTCATAGTGTCGGACAAGACGTCTAATATAACGCCTAACAGAAAAGGACTGAGGACTGATCCTTGGTGAACCCCGACGGTGATGGGGAAAGGTTTCGTGTCGCCAACAGCAGTCCGAACCACAGAATCAGTCTCTGGAACCTTTTTGGACCGTAGTGCCTACCAGATCACCATAGGAGAAACACAGTCGAAGGCTTTCTGCATGTTCAGGAATAAGTAGTGCTTTTGTGTTGCATGGGTGTTTTTTTTGTTCTGTATTCTTTGCGCGGTTATGGAATGGCCTATGGAAGATCATAATGTGCTTTTAAAAAAAATTACAAGGATCATTGTCTAAAAGATGTCTGTCTCATAATATTCTATGTTATGCAGTCTTATTTAAGTCAACGTGGTACCATGTTTTTTTTTTTTTGTATTTTATCAAATACCATTTTTTTGTATACATTTTGTATATTTATAGATATAGAATATATTTCTTCATCTATATTTACTTTTATATTTCTGAATTGTGTAATTATATGTAGGTAACCTTATATTTTTTATAAATATTTCATTTATTTTATTAAATAAGGTAGTGAACATGCGCCATAGCATCCAAATACAGTATTAACTTGATGTACAATAAAGAAAATCATTATTACTATTAATCAGCAGTCTAAGACATAAATTAAATTTCACCCAGATATACAACAAATGTACGTGCTCATTATCAAAAGCCTACCGCCGTCCATTACTGAACGGAGGCCTCCCCCAAGGA